CAACATTCTTCAATATACCACAAAAATGAAGTATAGACTGAGGAACAAACCCAGGTCCATGGGACACACTCTGACCAAACGCTGGGAGAAGAAAGTAGTGATCCCCAGGAGCCTAATACCTGATATACCGTGGTCTAGCATCCTACCTATCAGACTGGGCCAGGTTAGAAGTATGCAATGGCTAATAGCGCACGTGGCATTACCAGTGAATGTGTGGCTCAACGAAAGAAGAAGTCACAATCCGAGGAATGAGGAAGCGGAGCTGTGCAGGGTGTGCCAAGAAGGGCTTCCGGAAACTTTGGTGCATTGTCTACTGGAATGTAAGGAGGCAGAAAAAATGTGGGAACAAGTTAGGGGGATCTGGAAGCAGGTAGCGACGATAGTTTTTCCAGAATCAAAGATTACCATCCTTTTGGGGGTCGGGGTTCCCAAAGGTTGGCAACCCTACCAGAGGCACATCTTTCAACTGCTGAGACAATATGGACTGTGGTCCATCTGGAAAAGGAGATGTCAGGCAACTATGGAAGGAACACGAACTCATAGGGAGGAAGGTAGGGAGCTGCTCCTCAATACAGTGGAATCACATCTCAACGCACAGTGGAAAAGGGTGAGACAGCAAGCTAGGCAGCAATCTGGGCAAGAGGAGGAAATAATCAAAAAATTTTAACAGAATATTTTGGGTCAGGGGAAAGTAGCAGAGCCCAGAGGTGTACAGCTTTGCTTCAAATGGAGAGAGGAGGGACGAGGATATCAGGAAACAGAAAGGGAGGAGGGCTAAAGGAAAGAGAGGAAAACGAACTTTTCCTTTGTTTGTCATCACTAAGTGGCCTCGGAAAGCATTAAACGACCTGGTTAGAGTTCCCCAGTAAGACGTCCCTTGAGTCATATGGAAGGTAAGATGTGGCAGATCGATTGTAAAGGCTATAACCGCACGGGAGAGAGTCTGAGTAGAGACTAAGGATTGGATACAAGAAGAAATTATATGCAGAGGGATAGAACCGATGAGTAGCGGAAGAAGGCTGGAGACAAGTTCATCACGTCACGGATGGTAGGGGGGAGGGCCGCCAAGAGGAGGAATGAGACCATCTGGAGGCAGAAGTGTCACAACTCGGTTTCAAGAAGAAAGCTGGTACAACAAAACATAAGTAGCAGGGAGCGGAACCCTCGATACAGATAAAGAAAGAAAAAGAAAGGGAACCGGACTGATGCTGGAGGGGGCTGTAAAAATATTTTGGCTTGCCGAAAGGAAGACCTCCCTTTGGGTCATATGGAAGGAAAGATGCAGCAGAACGATGGAGGGGGCTGCAAACGCACGGGAGAGAGTCTGGGTGGGGACAAAGGTTCTGATACAGGCAGAAATTCTGTGCAGATGGAAGAGGATCAGGAGTACATAGACAGACGATAAAGAGCAGCGGAAGAAGGATAGAAACAAGTTCATCAAGACATGGATGGCAGGGAGGAAGGTTGCTGAGTTGAGGAATGATCGCATTTGTTGGAAGGAATGGCACAACTCCGCTTCAAAAAGGAATCTGGAACAGCAAAGCACGGAATCAGGGAATGGTACCCTCGAGCCAGAATCTAACCGAGACAGCTCTGCTTTCGGGTCACTACTTTTGATGTACAACAGTGGAGACCAGGATGCAAACTAGTAATGAAGGCGAGCAAGGGAGGTAAAAGGGTCTAAGCAAAAAGTCTCGGAGCAATGAGGAAGGCGATCCTTAAATGGGAATGGTATATCGGGGAGCCGTTAAGAAGGACGAGGRTTTAGGGTTCWGGGTTTAGTGGTTGCTCAGGTAAAAGGAAAAGCAGGTGGAAGGGGAAGGGCTCGGGTTGATGATCACAATAGAGGGACTCTTTCTAGGATTCAGCGATGGAATTTGGCA